CCAGATTCACAGAACACAATAAAAAAACGTCCCATGCTTTCCACCATTGCAACTCAAAAAAAGCATAGTGTATCTTTTAAAGACACAGTAGTTTTAAACAAAGAACTAAACATAAACAAACAAAAAATCAAAGAATCCATCTTAATTGAACAAAACAACCCTACTCTAAACCAACACCCTGGGGTGCCAAGATATCTCTTCTAAGTCTTGCAAAAGTATCTGGTCATGTGACCTCTTTGTTCAATACTGTATATCTATATACATATACTGTATATCTGTGTGAGCGTAAACTACTTGTACCTGATGATGACAAAACCTTGTTGAAACATTGTACATTTGCTGTTATGTCACTAAAGTTTTTCTTCATTACACATTCAAGCAGTCTCCAAGCATTATTAGTCTCAAAGTGGGTTCCTCGTCATCGAATTTGAACACTATATTTATATATAACACAAACTGGTGGATAATTTAAAATATAATGAAAGAGTTATTATTTAATTATCAACAAACTTATTTAACATTCCTGAAAACAAATGTCACTTACATATAATACTTAGCATAACCATAAATATGGATTACTATTAGACACTATTACTTTTTTTTTTGTTACAAAAAATATCTGTGCTAAAGTATATCTGTCTGAAAGCTACAGAAATGTTCTTCTATAACATCAGGTAAGCTTAGTTAGATTTAGTGTATACAGTAGGCAAGATCAAAATACTCTCAGGACTACAATCCTTATTTACTGCATATTATAGATAAAATGATGCACATAAATAAAGGTACTTATTATTTATTGAAAAGGAACTATATTTATCAGAAGTAAATTGACTTGGACAAAGAAAATTGTTAGCATAAGTAATGTTACATAGCCTGACAAAGGTAATGGTAACATTATTTTGAAAGGTCAAGTCCTAGGACACCAAGAAATCTTTGTCAGTTTTTGTCACTAATGAATACAAGTTAACTCTGCCTGGATACATAATATGAAAGTTTCTGATCCCATGGGTGTGAAATTAATATCGCCCAATGACCAGGATGATATAATTTGTCTGAGGGTCAACAAGTTGTACCAATTTACTTTGCTGATTGGACAAACACTCCAAGTAGGTTTCTACTGAGTCATACAAATTTCTGTAAATTCTGAACTGCAGAGGCCAAGCACATACAAACATTTAAAAATGCATACCACTAAACCTCAAACCAAAACTACAGACACAAATATACATATCCCTTTCATTCACAAGCCCTCAGTCATAAACACAGAAACAAACATATTCAAATTCATGGGATGATATTATTAAGTAGCTTTTAATTACAGTTGGAGGTCATTTGAGGTTTACTGCCAACACTAGGAAGAATATATAACATAATAAAAATTATAAAAAGCTTTAACCTATTACGTACGTATTAAACACAGATCTTACTTCATAATGAGCTATAAAATTTTCATGACTAAATGTTAAAAAATCATAAAATACATGAACAAGTATATATTAGGAGCTTCTAATGCAAAACACAGTATAGGCCATTTCCAACAAAACTGAGGTGCCAGTGTCCTTGTATTGATTGTGTTCACTTTAAATAAAAGCAAAATCCTTAGTTATATTCTACTTGTGTGCATTTTGTGGGATTGGGAGAGGGCAAGTAGGTTGTCCCTCAGAAAGAAAATATTTTCAAAAATTACATACCCATGGAGCAATAACAAAAACATTTAATGCTAAAACAAAAGGATTTTTAATGTTTTTTCAAAACAGTGTCTCATAATAAAATTATGGAAATTTCACAAAATAACAAATCATAAAAAATACTAAATAAAAAATATTTACCAAAACTAGATATTATTAAGTAATACTGTACTAAGTTTAATACAATTTGATTAAGTATTTCCGCTGTAAAAATGAAAATATTAAGGGATATATCAGTGATGCACTTCTCATCCAGAAATAGTAGCAAATAACAATAATAGATTGATATGGAATACTATGAGACATACAATGACATGGACACTTACGGTATGTTTTTCCTGGTTTCAACTTATCAAGAATAACTCTGTGAATATATAGTTGTCGCATTTGAGGTCCACCATCAGTAAACAGGATGCTGTTTCCCTTGGCAACTTGGGTTAGCTTTATTTTTCCATATTCTACCATGCTTGTATTTGTAGGATTCATTGTCACCCATGTCACTATCATCTGAGTTGGATCAGCTTTCAAAAGAATAAAAATAACAATGAAATAATCACAAAAAATACATATTTAAGTTAAAATTTTCATGATCATTTAACGTGCAAACATTGAAACAGATGCTGGATTGAATGCCTCCAAACCTGATATTTATTTTACTTGTTTAACACCATTAATTTTATTAAAATAAGATTGCAATTTAAAGCTATCTACATGTTTTCCTCCAAAATTCACCTGCTACCATGTAATTTTTAATTTAATTTTTGTAATTTTTTTAAGGAAAAAATTTAATAAAACAGCTAACGTAACCACAAAAACTTTATTTTTTTTAGGAATTACAAAAGTTAACATTTTTCTAAACTGAAAATGTATTTCCGATAGGTAATTACCTCCTCACACAAAAAGCTTTCTTGACTTGTACTGCCCTCTATCAGTGCAAATTTTTGCTGGCCATTAGCCTTGTTACTCCCACTAATTACTACATAATAACATGCAAATGATCATGCAGCAAACCTCCACCAATAGGAGTGCAACACTATCCTTATCATAACTACTGCACATGTTAATCACTTCAAGATCGGTCATAACTAACCAAACCAGTTCACACTAGAAGTTGGGAGGACAGGTGGGAAATGTGAGAGGAGGTAAGTATCTATCAGAAATAAATTTTCAGTTTAGGAAAATGTTAACTTCCTATACAATATATTACCTCACAAAAAGCTAGAATCCCACACTGAACTGGCAAAAAGCCAGTGAGAAGACAATCCCCCTTTAGGAAGCACTCAAAGGAAGACCATGAGGTGTGATAAAGAATTAAACATAACACATCATAGGGAGACCAAACCACTTCTGAGTCAGGTATACTCTTCTCTCTTTAGTAATGTGTCACCAGAACATAAAGGGCAGGAACTTGGAGGGGTTTCCCCCCCAAAAAAAACCCAGAAATAATGGGACCACCTAGCATAGATTGACTAGGGCACAATAGACTGTAAATGAGAGTTTAACCTCAACCAACACCTGGCAGCATCTGTAATTGTACTTCAGGTTCATAGTAGGAAGAGGGTCCTCTACCTTTCATGTCATAAACAGGTACAGACAGAGAAGTGGAACTCCCGTACCAAGAACCCATCTTTGCATATGTGCACCTCCAACACAACCAACACCAGATCCATTGGGGAACCAACATCTGGTAGATGGTAGGAAGGAGGAGAGTCCAGGTGGTGTTCGTCTCCAATCCAAACCTAGCGAAATTGGGAATGTAGTTGTCCAGTCCCCTGTAGGAAGAGGGTACCCAGCCTTACACAAGCAGATTCATGTGTCTTGTCCAGCTACAATCAATACCAGATTCACCAGGAACCGACATCAAGCAAATGGCAGGAAAAGGGACCACAACTTTGGGGTTGCATCTCCAGTCCAAAACCTGATAGCATTGGGAATTTGTCATCCAGTCCACCATAGGAGGAGGGTACCAGCCAAACACATGAGTACTTATGAGGCTTAACCATCTCGACCAACATCCAATTCCCTGGAACTGACATGGGGGGGGGTGGTAGAAAGGAGGTTGTCTCAGCCACGGGGGCAAACTGCATTTTGTTTTTGTTTATTTTCATTATTATATATATATATATATATATATATATATAGTGGAGTGCTACATCCAACACTTGGTCCACAGTAGGAAAAGTTTCAATGTCAGTTATCTAGCATATTCACAGGTTGTAGAGTGTGGATTTAAGACTAAGTGTACATGGTCAGGCAACACTCACCACAGCGTGGGATCGAAATATGTCCCTGAAAAAAAAATGATCGGTGTACTTACCACCACAGATAAGCAGTTACAGCACTGATGATGTCCCCCATAGGAAGATGGAAATGTGCAGCCAAAGAATGGTTAGGTGAGAGATCTGATGGGAAGAAAACATGAAAAGGCAACAATCATCAGGAGAAAGGGAAGAAAATGACAGGTAAATGAACTGATGAATTCAACCCAAAAGGGTTATGGGAAAAGGTCACAGAAGAGGTGAGGATTTCACGGAACAAACAAACAAACTCAGGAACCACAAGAGGGAGCAGTATGTGTCCCAAACCCTCATAAAGCCCTGACCTGACAAAGGAGGTGGTGAAATGGAAACATTCTAGAAGGACAGGGGTGGAACATAGGAAACAGGAGATAAGTACACCTGAATAACAAATCCACGAAAGGGGAAACCTTTCTGAGCAAGTCCACCGAAATGACACATGACTAAGAGGCATATTCAGGTGGAGTGGAGGAGACTGTCCAAATCCAATACTAAACCATCAATGTGTTTTAGTCATGACCACCCAAAACTGCATGTGCATAACACCCAAAACTGAAAGAGGAGATAAAATAAAATCTATACTATTATTCTGCTTGGTTGTATGTATGACCGTTACACTTTCTGACCAAGAACCTGCTGCATAAGCATGCATAGTTTGAATGTTTCCCCAAGAAAAAACACACATGTGCATTATTCACTCGATGACAAACAGTCTGCATGAGGCAGAGAGCTGCAAAGCTCATTGATCAAGTTGCTACAATTGCTGTATTTAACAAGAAGTAACAACAAAAGGGGAATGTAAATATACTTTACTAACCATTTTATACAACAGAATATTCAAAACTTATCAAAGTTTTAAAAAAGGTTTGATGTTAGGTCGTTTAATAACATTATAAGTTTATTTATCGACAGTATTAAGTACAGTAAAGTTTAGTCCTAACTAAACTAAAGTAAAAAAACATGCACACAGGTTACAGTGTTAAAGTTTTATAAAGTACGGCCTATGTACAAGTGGATTTACACATTTCGTTGTCTATGATTACAGTTCGTTTGTATTGTGCTAGAAATATTACATTTGAAGAAGTACTGTTGTGATAAAGATACTAATTTGGCCAGAAATGTTTTGTGGGTCTCTGCTAGTAAATCATAACTCTCCCAGAAACAAAACAAAAATGTAAAATAACAAATTAACTGAAGGAGAAATTCACGAAAGTAAGAACTTGTGGATGAGCTCATTAAACAGCAGGACTACCAATCAAGAAGTGATTAAGATGTGCATGATTAGAGAAAGTACTAGTTACAATAGGGGTAGTGTCACACTTCTATTGATGGAGGTTTGCTGCATGATCACTTGAATGTTAGTATGTAGTAATAAGTGGAAGTAACAAGGCTAGTGGCAAGCAAAATTTTGCACCAATAGAGGACAGTACAAGTCAAGAAAGTTTTTTGTGAGAAGAGGTAAGATATATCAGAAGAAAAACTTGCAAAATAACCCCCTCAATATCTTATTTGTACTACATAATACTTCCTTCTCACAAAATGGTCCAAGCTCTTAAATAGTGTTCACAACTTTCACAACTTACAACTCATTTACTTATCAGGGAATCAGCTCAGCCAGGCTTCTTTGTTTCTATTGTCTATTTCAGAGTATCAATTTTCAGAAGTACCTTTATTAGCAGCTTTGGGTTAATTCCTTTTCTAATGCTAAAGTTTATATGTAGATGATCTAAAGTTGGCTAAATATATGGGTCACGTGAGATATTCATATGTTGAATCTTTTGTTTGGAAAGCTTACATATGATTTGGCCATTTCTGTAGATGAACAAGAGGTTGTCTTCTCAGCAGTGTTTCCACAGCTCACTACAATGAACAACCTTAGACTTGAGACTTGCACAAAAGGATCGTACCTAAAAGTTCTCCTTAGCTATTTTCATTAACACACAGGAGTTTTATGCTGCTTTCCAAAATAGCTAAAACTCAACTCTTTTTATTCTTATGTCACATAACTATTAATTACTTCCAAATCAATCATAACACTAGATTTAATCTTATGAAACACATAACAGGCAGCCTTTATACCAACCTGCAGTATAACACAACATAAACACATCAAAATTCATCACTTAACATCAATGGTACAGGAGTAATGGGACAGTTGCCCAAGGATGCAAAAGGGCCCACCAAAAAGTTTTATTAAAAAAGGAGAAGATACTATCAATAATAAAGAAATGGAAAATAAGATTTAACAAATGTAAAAAAAAGTAATTGTAATACGACTATGTTTTTATCTTTACAGTCTATCTTTTATAAGCACACTTTCATCTCTTGGAGTTGGCTTCAAGTTAAAATGTGTATGTAACAAACACAAAATTTAAAAAAATACTGTAATGAATACACCTTAAGAACAACATGAGCTTTTTTTTTTACATTCCTCTTAAGTAGTCAACTAGGATTTCAAATCACACGTGCTTTGAATCTATTTTGTGCCTACAATACATTGCTTTCCAAAAGTACTTTCATTCAATACCAGAACTTATCAGCAGGACAATATCAACTGACCAGAAAATACAAATAAATAGAAACTATGAACTAATTCAAGCATGCAAAAAAGATGTACATGTTGAAAAGATACTTCACAGACAGACAAGTTCTACACTTCGAAAACATACTTCACAGACAGGCGGATTACTGTTCCAAAACTGGTAAAAAGACAGCAACATTAACAAGGGTAGAAATTATCAACAGCTTTGCAAAATCTACTTTACCATGTGAATACAGTAATGATTCACACCTGAGTCTGTACATTGTTAATATGGTTAGATGTATAGGAGCAACATTATTATATAAATGTACTTTGGCAATGTCCCCGAAAGTGTTCTGTTTCAAGAGTAAATAAAAACAAAGTTAAGAGTAATAAATATTATAATTTCTTGCTTTTGAAGTTCACATGTCATGCTCTGTTGTAGCCTCCAGTGTGTATAATTCTTCTCAGGATTCATAGCATCCACACATTTTACTGACATCATAACAGTACAAATTGCAACATTAAGCATCCCTTATGAGAAATCATTTATAGTGTCTACTGACTGACAGACAACACCCTACTGTATAGTGGTGTAAGTGGTTAATATAGGTGACCTCCTCCAGGGCAAGGCTGATATTTAAAATTACTGGCACTTTGTAATTTAAATAATATTCTTAAGCTAGAGCTAAAGATTACACATAAGGGCTATCAGTTTCTAATTTTCAACAAAGAGACTAGAGGAAAGGGAGCTAGTTAACAGCCCCTATTGTTCATTTCAGAGCTACTGTGGTCTGACTGAACAGTGGCATCTAAATAATTTAGGGAAATATGAAATCTGTTTTGTTTTTGAGGATATTACTTGTTATCTGGAAAATAGAAAGACTGTGAAATGGAATACTCAGATTTTCAAAAAGCTTTTGTTAAGGTTGCATACAGAAGATTAACTAAAAACATCACAGTAGAAGTTGGGGAAAGACTAATTAATTGGATTGTAGAGTGGCTGGATGAGAGGAAGCAAAATATTGCTATTAATGGAGTCCACTGAAACTGTACCCTTTTTACTAGTGGAGTGCCTGAAGGGTCTGTTTTTGAGCTTTTGTTTTTTCTTATTCATATTAATGATACTGATAGGGAAATGATTATAAGTTAGTAAAGTCTGCTGATGGTATTAAATTCTTGGGTATTTCTGACTGTATTGAGAATGGTGAAGTATTCTATTACAGCATGACTAAGATGAATTGGTAAGTTGTAAAAATATTTCACAAGTTACATTTAATTATAGTAAATGTAAAGTAATGAAATTGGATTATCATAATTTGGATCACATATTTAATATAACACAACGTACATACAACATGGATATTAGTTATTGGCCTCTGTCAGCAAAACCCTACAACTTCCAGAAATATGAAATGTTGAAGTTACCTTCCTACACCCACATGCCCACTAGGATCATTAAACTATACATTTACTCCTGATAAACTAATCAAGGACTGTGAGGACATCTCAAGTTTAATTAATCCCACAACAGCAACAAGACAGACATACATCTTACCTAAAATAAAAAAGAAAGAAATCACACCCCATCTATCACAAAGGAACAAGCACAGAGGAACCAAAGCAAAATATATGGTGTTATAGTTGACTCAGGCTTTATAGCACTTCTTTACATAATTTAAATAAAAATACTGAGTTTAGACTACAAATGTAATTCTAACTGACACAAAATGATATACAAATTTCTTTATGATAGATTAAGCATATGCTAAACATTTTTATTACCTAAACTAAATGATTCGATACATATAACATGTAATCATATTTATATGATACTTTAGGAGAGTAGAATCGTTTGTCCATATTTCACCTTATAACTAAAATAATAATAAGTATTTTTCAGATCTAGCAAATGCCATTGGATTAAACCAGTTCATTTTCATCACTATCATTCATTCAACTGTATCTGAACAATTATACAAGAATACACTTCTCACACAATTTCATAGATTGTGACCATAACTGTGAAATGTCAGCTGACCAACTTATAAAGTTTTATGAATTATGAAGAATTATACTTTTACTGTTTTACTTTTAAATTTAAAGATCGCAGGTCAACATTTTCATATATATATATATTATTTATATATATATATTATTTATTTATATATATATATATATAACTTAATTATAATAAAGTTCATAATCTTGTATTTTTGTACTAATTTTGTTACTGATATTCATTGTTACTAATAAGTTACTTACAACTTACAGTTACACTGACAATAAATTATGTGTAAATAATAATAATAAAAAGCCTAAACCTACCTCCATAAGATATGTGAATCTGTTCTGGTTGTGTTTGAGCTTCACATTTAGTGTCACGCGATAAAAAACATAAACTCACACCTAAAAAGACCAAATAGGTTAAAATCGCCATACCAGTCATCCAGAAATAACGACAATTTTAAAACTAACTTAGTTAAAACTAAGAGCCAGGATAAAAAAGTCCAAGATTGTTTACGAAACTTGATAGTCAAAGTTGGCATCTAATAATGATAAGGTGGAATTGCTGACATGCAGCAAAACGCAAACGACAGGTTTTATCAGCATGATGTATTTGTTTTAATTTTATTTTCGAAATAAATAAATATTTAATACTATTCTAATAAGTAACTATTTTAACATATAATTACATTTTTACATATATAAAAAAAATAGCTAGATAAAAAATACTGGAAACAATTTTCATGATCAGGCGTATTTATGGAATATATTTATATATATATGTATTTCAGGTCTCTCTCTCTCTACGTACCATATCCAAACAGGACGTTGATGACCATGGCTCTCCACAAGTCCCTTCTCTTTGAAGTACAAATAATTTTCAATGTCGATACATTCATCCATTTAGATAGACTCTTAAGTGATATAAGTCAACCTCTCTGTCTTCCACGGTCTTTCCTTCTTTTAATCTTTCCAGTTACGATCAGACTTTCAATTTCTTCTTTCCTTGTAATGTGTCATTTCAGGTGTGATTTGTCCAACAAACCTTCAAGATGCACCTTTACAAACACAACTTAATTGCTTCGATTCTCTTTTCAGGCACAGATAAATAATGACAGTTTTTGATTAGTGCACTCAAAACTTTTCCGAAGCTTTTTATTTTCAAACTATATTTTTGAAAAGATAGTACTTAGTTTATTGTACCATATGAGAATATAATTTCTAAGTACTTGAATAAAATGAAATATAATTCAGCAACATCATTGGTGGTTATTTTAGTGCAAAGCCACATTAGGCTATCTGCTGTGTCCACCACGGGTAATCGAGCTCCAGATTTTAGCATTGTAAGTCTGTAAAGTTACCAATGTCTTACCGGAGGACTTCTGTAACATCGAGGATTATATTGATTCAGTGGTATAGGAAGGGGATGCATAGTGGAGATGCTTGGGTAGACATGCAGAATATATAATGAGAGATTGAAAGTATAAGGAGCTACCAAAAATAGCTTCCGTACTGCCAAAGGCAGCTCAGCTTAAGGAGGTATTGGTGTATGCCCCCTCAGAAAATTAATATAATAACTTACAGTTGCTATATAGGTCAAATATGTTAAAGTGGGGTGCTGTTCAAACGCCTCTGCCGATTTTCCATCTTTTATCAACTAAACATATTATGACATACCGCTGTGCCACTGGGGGACACCTAGTTTCACATCAGTAACATTTTTATTATTAAATATAGAGAGTTAAACAGTTATAAAAAATATCATAGCTCTGATATTGGTGATCTAATGATCTTAGCATTCAATACAATTTAATTTTTTAGCAAAAATATATATTTACTTATAGAAATTCACTGTAGTGAGTTGAACACAGTTCATCAGCGGTAATATTTGGAAATGTTTGAAAACAATAATGAATGAACTTTACAAATGTATTACTCAACTACTTGTATATATATATATTCCTTTCGAAAATCATAGAAGACTATATTAATTTAAAATGTAAAAGGTTGCCTTTACTTTACTTCTGAAAAATTTACTTTTTTCTTTCCTTGTCTCGGTTAGGTTTCATGAATTTTCCTTCACTTCTTCAGATTTAGATTTTAAATTGTATTACTCAGTCTTTGTTTAACCATACGCATCTAAGTTTAGAGGAAATTCATTAAACGTGTTGTTTACTATATTTCGTTTATACTTACGCCGGCCATATCACTTGCCCTGCTGTCAGTATTTGTCATGTGACTGATACGTTCTGCTTATTCAAACCAGGTTAATGTCCAATATGACTTCGCACTTCTCGTTACAACACATATCGTAGAAACACACCACTCGTTTATAAGTGTGCTTCCAAATATACAAATATAAATTATTGACTATTATTATTTATAAATATTAATAATCATGTTATTACAAAAGAGTTTGCTATTTTTGGGGTAATATTGAATTCAAATATTGATAAACATGTAAAGCATAATATATGTATATACAAGTTTATAAAGAAATTATTTCGAAGCATATTTCAATCCACATAGATGAATTATTTCATTTATTCAAACTTAACATGCTCCTATTTGTAAAATTTTTGACCTCTTCGTATTATGTCCAAACTTGATGTGGTGTGAAAAACTGGCGTCCCAAAAACCTTGTTAGAAAAAAAGTGGCGTATATATAATGTTGCGTCAGCGAGGTCACGTGACTACTATTACGCCACTTCTCTCGAACCTTCGTGAATTATCGGGAGACTACTAGATATGTGTTAGTCTTGTATATATAAGACGTTGACAACGTGACGGGACAACAGTGTAGTGAGTAATTGAACTGCAGTCAGAGAGTATTATTGAAGTTAACCTTCGTTGTTATAGCGTTTGTTTTAGCGCGAATGTTGAAATAAGTGTATCGGTAAAGTTATATTCAGAAAGAATAAACCAGTTTTATTAAGAAAGGACTTGTGTCGCTAAAGTTTCGTGGGAACGAAGTTACGGAAAATCAACTAACGAACGGAGACGTAACAATAATAACCTAAAAGGCAATAGTTAAGACAAGTAAAAAATGGTGAACTTAAAATTAACTTATTAATATGTTCTGTGATATAGGAACATACCACATGTTTCTATCTTCTCATACGATTATAGTATTTATTCCGAATTTATTAATTACTACTTTGTTCTGAATATGTGCAGGTTTCACATAGCACATGGTCAAGAAAACCGTTAATAAATCTTGTTTAAATTTGTTCCTTTGTTGTTCTGGAAAGTAGACAATGCCTGTTACCGTCATAAAAAACATTGCTTAATGCAACTCATTATATAACATAACATTATAGGACAACAAGGGGTCTTTTGATCAATATAGGCTGTCCTATCCACTAAATTAAACTAAACCATAATAATAATAAAAATATCATAGCCAACCCTTATCATTCAAATATTTCCATTAAATTCCCTTACATTAACTGAAGCCAAGCACCCTATTAGAAAAGTAAAGCTACCTTAGCTAAAGATGATTTCTTCCCTGCTAAAATTTACACTTGTGTTTCATAGTCTTATCATTCTCACCATTAAATATTAAAAAAAAAAGATCATGCATCAACAGTATCAATTACCTTAACAATCTTAAATACCTCAATCATTTCCCCTCTAACTCTCCGTTTTTCAAGAGAAAACACGTTCAGAGATCTTAACCTATAAAATGGACATGTATATAGATGTATATGGATTATGACAATAGTGTATTTCAATGGTAGTTCAGGTGATGCCTTATCTATGCTGGAATGAGAATAACCATCACATAGGTAACGTAGTTCATCCTGGTAAATGCAAGGTTTCTTGCAAACTAAGATGTGTTCCATTTAGTCAGTCTTGTTAGGAACATCATTTGAATAGTATTGTTGTAACATGTTTTTCGTTAGACGAGTTCTTTTAGATTATTTTGTGACAAGTCCAGCCCAACTTACAATAACCAATTAGCTTATTTCTTCCTTAACTTTTTCTATAGGCTACTGTTACTTGTACAGAGTTATAGGCCCAAGTTCACAAATAATGTTTTCACATTCAATGTAAATTTACTCACTAATAGTACTTCAGATAGCATACAAATAAACTTATTTATGCAATTTCACAGCTAATCGATCAAGTAATTGAATATGCTCAATAACTAACACTGATCCAGAAGCTACTACACAGGATCAACTACAAAAGCTGTAATGGTTTTCAAACGAGACTCAAAACTTGAGCGCTTTTGAACAGTTCGCTATTCTTCTTCAGGAAGAAAAATAGTAAACATTTCGAAAGCGCTCAAGTTTTGGGTATTGTTTGAAAACCATTAACGCTGATCCAAATACTTCGCTAACTTCTCAATCAATGAAAGAATGGAAAACTGCCACAATGCTACACAGATTCTCTTATTTGTGATGTATAAGTGTTTCTAGATGTTTGCAAAGTCTCTGGATCATTAATATTCACGAGCATTATAAGTATTATAGAACTACTTTTATAAATTTTATGAATTTAGTATCATCATCATGTTAGCAGCTCCCTCTAGCAAACAATTAAATTAGAGCACTGACAGCAGTATAATCTGGAACTTTGTCTTCATTAGTCAGTCCTACGATCCAATAAAGACAGTTGTTCCATGTAAGAAACAGTGAGTACACACACACACACACACACTGTGTTTGTGTTTATTGTTTAATAAAGATTGTTCATTTTGTATTTCACTTTATGTCTAATCTCGTTATTACATTTAACATAAACTTAGTTTGTAAGAGATTTAGTACTACTGCCTTATCAATATCTTGAGTGAATCTCTTGTTACCTAGTGAACCTATCTGATTAGCTATAATATTCGTTCAATTTTAATACCACAAAATGGATAGATCGGTAGAGCTTTTGGTGCCGTAACTGCAGAATATTTTTATTGTGGAGTTTGCTATATCTGTTGATGTGTGTGCTGCCCTTTACTTAACTCTTGTATTATTCAGTTTGAAGAGGCTTTGTGTTTGTAGGATTGGCCGTCACATTATAACGACCCCACGGCTGAAAGGGCGAGCATGTGATTTGAACCCGTGACTCTCAGATTGAGAGTCGAGCGCCTTAACCGCCAAGCAATGCAAGGCGCCTGTTCAAATGAAAATACTTCATTAACTGTACTATGACTATTGTAAAAATAAACTTGATAGTAGAATTTCACAGCTAGTTGATTGAGTAACTGAATTTTCGTAATAATTCACATTGATCCAAATATTTTACTAAAACTAAACACTTCTTGAACTGAATTTACTGATTGGTACTCTACTGACTGAAAAAAAATTGACTCATTGTTTCACTGATAGGTTATTAACTGACTAGTCCGCTAGTATTTATATCCGAAGTCTCACTTCTAGATATTTGTCAAAGTTACTATATTCTTGACATCAAATTTAGAATATTTTAGGTGTACTTTGATAAAGTTTTTTCTTTTTTGTCTTAATGCCATGCGCTCTCTAGCTACCATTTAGATTAAAGTATTAAAAATATAGCTTACAAAAACAATTTTGAAAATTTTTATTTTTATCTGAAGGGTTG